TCTGGTCAGCACTGCAGAGTACTTAAAGGGGAATAAAAAAGAGTAACAATTTTTTTAAAACCTAAGGAGGTCTTTATTCTAACTAGGCAAATGTTTCTGGACTTAGAAATAACTGTAGAAAAGAGCAAGAGTCCAGTAGCACCTTAAAGACTAACAAAACTTGTGGCAGGCCAGGAGCTTTCGTGAGTCACTGCTCACTTCTTCTTAAAAGCAACTGTGGGGCGGGTTTTTTGACTGAACCATGATTCCTGACAGAAACAATTCGTACTATTGTTTTCGTTTTTGCCATCAAGTCACAGTTGACTTATGGCAACCCTGTAGGGTTTTCAAGGCAAGAGACATCCAGAGTTGGTGTGCCATGGCCTGCCTCCAGTCCGCATCGCAATCCTGGTATTCCTTGGAGGGGATTCACATTCTAATACTAGCCAGGGCCGACCCTGCTCAGCTTCTGAGGTCGGGCTAGCCTGGTCTATCCAGGTCAGATTCATATTCATCAATAAATATAAACACATAGTTTGGTGAGTGGGTTATAGAAATTGCTATTGGTGGTGAAGAAATCACAAGTGGGCCTGTGGCTTAGGGGTAGAGCATCTGCTTTTCAGAAGGTCCCAGGACCAATCCCCAGCATCTCCAGTTAAAGGATCAGGTGGTTGGGTTATTTGAAAGAACCACCGAGACCCTGGAGAACTGCTGCCAGTCGAAGTAGACAACACTGACTTTGATAGGCCAAGAGTCTTACAAGCAGCTTCATCATTTCCCATTTTTAAAAAATCCCGGCTGGAAATACAGAAGTCCACCTAGCAAAGATGGCTAGCTATTGGATCATATTCAGGGCTTTTTTTATAGAAAGAGCCCAGCAGGAACTCGTTAGCATAACAGGCCACACCCAACAGCAGAAATTCATTTGCTTATTAGGACACACCCCTGACAGCACAGCTCATTAGCATATTAGGCCACACACCCCATGTTCACAGAAGTGGGGTCATCCAGACACACCCACCTTTTGCTTCTTATTCTGTTTACCTTGTTTGTTGTCAAAACCCAGGGCTTTTTTTGTTGCAGGAACTCCTTTGCATGTTAGGCCACACACCCCTAATGTAGCCAATCCTAATGAGTTTCTGCTGTTGGGTGTGGCCTATTATGCTAATGAGTTCCTGCTGGGTGTGGCCAACTCAGGAGCCAGCCGGAACTCCGTTCCTGTGCGTTCCTGCCCAAAAATAGCCCTGAATTCATATTTACTCAAAAATGTCTCTCTGAGTTTACATAATTGCAGGCAGCACATTTAATGCAGTTGCCAGCTCCAGGTTAGGAAGTTTCCAGAGCTTTGGGGGTATCGCTTTGGGAAGGAGCTCAACAGGGATGTGATGCTATAAAGTCCATCCTCTGAAGTTGCCATTTCCTCCAGGGGAACTGATCTCAGTATCCTGGAGATCACTTGTAACTCAAGAAGATCTCTGGGCCTCACCTGAAGTTTAGCTAGGGTTGCCAAGTCTATTTACCTTGGCGGCAGGGGAGCGTCGCCAAACTCCGAGAGCCGTAGGTGGACGCGCAACGTCGATTGGAAGTGACGTGCGACGTCGATCACGTTGAGGGCATGGCCCCGATCGTCGAAGGGAAAACCATAGAGTTTTCCCTCCAACGATCGGGGCCACGCCCCCAACGTGATCGACGCCACGCTGAGCTTCGGGGGGGCGGAGTTCCCCCTGGGACCCGAATCCGCGGCGGCAGAAATTGGGCCTCCAAAGCGGGGGTTTACCCACCACCCGTCCCCACTTGGCAGCCCTAAGTTTAGCAACTGTAACACTTAGGCAGCTTCCACACCGTTTCATCTTGGAAGTCCAGCTCTTGAGCAAGGAGTGGAACACAACATCGCAGAGGAAACAACAGTTTACCATTTCCACACACTGAGACTGGGGGCTCCTAGTAGTCAGTGAAGCCGAATATGATGTGAGGGAACACAAAGTCTGGAGATCAGATATTTCTAAAATTGTTATGAATTATTTTATTAAATATATTTTTAAAAAAGAACACCATCATACGCAAAGAACATCATGCAATGGGGAAATCTTATCCACACGGACCATACATGACATGACTATATTACATAGTTTAGGAAAATCAGAGTTTCAGGAAAGGAAGGGAGATCCGCTTTAAGATCTTGTGTTATCTTGGGCGTGAAGAAGGATCAGGCCACTGAATCTTCCAGGTCTGTCAGGAGCAAGCCTCACTGCAGACACCCCTGCAAAATTCCTGTTTTGTTTATCGTAGAACTCCTCATAGAATTTGATAGCTTACAGAGGATCCGTAGGCCTTCCTCCATTCAGGCTGTGAAGAGTCTCAGGCTCGCTTGGCTTCAGCAAGGTGCATACATAGGTTTGCCAACCTCCAGGTGGTACCTGGAGATCTCCTGGGATTACAACTGATTTTCAAACTATAAAGATAAGTTTCCTGGGGGGGGGGGAATGGCTGCTATGGGGGATGGACTAGATGGCATTATGCCCTACTGAGGTCACTCCTCTCCTCAAACCCTGCCTTCCCCAGGCGCCACCAGCAAATCTCCAGAAATTTCCCACCCACAAGTTGGCAACCATATGAATAGACCTTACAGCTGCTAAAAGCACCAGGCACGCTGGTCGCTTCCAATCATGCTGCTGTGAGAATCTACAGGGAATCTCCCTTTCCACCTCTAATTTCTACCAGTTCAGTGAGAGAAGCTGCCCCCATTTTTCCTTCCCAGAGCTGAAGTAACATCTGTTTCTTATCAGCACTGTCTCTCTTGGGGGGCTCAAAGCAGGAGATGGGAGGGACCAGTTTCTTACTTTACTGGCCTGTATCCATGTCCTTTCACCTCTGCCCAGCAGGTCTCATCCTTCATTCTCCGGCTTGTGAAGCAAGCAGAAGGCACTTCAGTTGTGTCCCACAAGCAGCAGGTTACAGGAAGGAATGGGGCAGGAGAAACAGAGGCTATTATGTGGGGTATGTTGGAAGAGAAGGCCTAGAGAAGGCTATCTCAGGCCTCAGCCTCCAGGGGGGGGGGGGTTTGCAAACAAGTCAGTGAGATAGATGGGCCGACTGTGGGTTTTCTTCCTGTTTTACTGTCCTGTCACTACTGTCCCTTTGAAGCAGACTGACAGATCTCAGAGAAATTGCCTCTCTTCCTTCCGTTCCCCCTCACACACCATCACACTCTCACACACATCCACGATGGGTGATGGATGCCTCCAGGGGTCGTTTTGTAGAAAAAGAGCTAGGGGGACTCATTAGCATAACTCATTAGCATATGCCACACCCCCTGACATCACCGGAAGTGTGTCCTAAGGCCACACCCCCTGACATCACCGGAAGTGTGTCATAAGGCCACACCCCCCGCCCCCAATGGTCCCGGCTTCCCCAGGCAGGCAGGGGTGGGGAGAGGCAGGGAGGAAGCAACTTACCCTCCCTCTTCTCCTGCCTCCTCCTGACTGAATGAGGACCGGAAGCGGGGCGGCCGGAAGTGGGGGGCGGGGCTTCATCATGTGCCCCCCCCGTACCTCACCCGGGGGAACTGCGATCCCCCTGCGATCCCCCCCGAAATGACCTCTGGATGCCTCTCTACATCCGGACCCATCCAAGGTAGTTTAGATTAGTTCTGTCTCTGTCTCTTAAGCTTCACTATCTAGGATGTAGTTCCTAAATAAAAGGTGGGGAATGGAGTTCTCTGTGAATTACAGCTTATTTTCAGGCTAGAGAGCTAGTCCTCTAGAGAACATGGCAGGTTTGGAAGGTGGACTCTGTGGCATCAGAGCCCTGTTAAGTTCCCTCCCTAGGCTTCGTCCCCAAAGCTCCAGGAATTTCCCCATCCAGAGTTAGAATCATGGAACCATAGAGTTGGAAGGGACCTCCAGGGTCATCTAGTCCAACTGCCTGCCTGCCTGCACAATGCAGGAAATTCACAAATACCTCCCCCCCACAACCCCAGTGACCCCTGTTCCATGCCCAGAAGATGGCCAAAAAACCTCCAGGATCCCTGGCCAAACTGGCCTGGCAACACTGGGACCGATTTCACACAAGAGCTGTGCCGCGGTCGCACCTCCCTTTGCCCCACTTCTATTGGTCAATTTCCCACTCGAAGCCGCGCGGCCGCATTTTGACCCGCAGCTTTGCTCGATTTTCCCCGTGGGTTTCGTGATCCCCAAAAAACAGGATCACGAAACCGTGGGGGAAATTTGGTGAACCCGCGGGTCAAAATGCGGCCGCATGGCTTCGAGTGGGAAATTGACCGATAGAAGTGGGGCAGAGGGAGGCACAACCATGGCGCAGCTCTTGTGTGAAATCAGACTAAGTGTTTAGCAGCCAAGCTATTGGGGTGACTGTTCCAATCTGTTCTAGTGGGCAACAGCTTTAATTTGAACCAACTCCAAACACCCCCTGCTCCTAGTATCATACCCTCGAGGAGCCAGTGCCTGAATTAATGGACACAAGGGAGAGGAGTAAAGAGAAGGACTTCCTCTGGGTCATCCAGCAGAAATTGATTCAGAGTGCCAACTTCTCTCTGTTTTACAGCTGGGAAACAGAGCAGGTCCCAATACAGTCTAGGCAAATAAAAACCAGACTTAGCTAAGGCTGCCAAAAAGCCAGCCCTAACTGAAAGGATCTTGTTGCTCTCTCAGGGGTCATTTCCTGCGAGAGCGCACAGGAGCGGAGCTCCGGCAGTAAGGAGCCCAGGGGGTGGGCACATGCAACAAGCCCCACCCCCTGCTCCCCGCAGCCCTCAGTCGGGCCACGAGGAGCAAGAAGCAGCCAGGTAAGTTGCAGAGGGGCCCCCATCCCGCCTTCAGGTACAACCTCTCCCTCCTCTGTGAGGGCAGATCTGTGCGTGCCCCCCCCCAATAGCTAGCAATCCAAAACAGTCCAGTGGAGCCTGAGCGGTGGGTGTTGCCTTCTGACACACTTCCGGTGATGTCAGGGAGAGTGGCATATGCAGATAAGTTATGCTAATGAGCTCCTGCACCGCTTTTTCTACGAAATGACCCCTGGGTGAGTCCTAGGGTTTCCAGATACGGCTTGGGAACTGGTGGGAGCCAGGAGGGCAAGGGCACGGGGTTGCCATCGGTGATGGCATGATCTCACTTCGGAGATGACAACGACGTGGAAGTGACATCAATTTCCTCTGGGAATCTTCAGGAACTCCAGTGATTCCTAGAGCAGACTGACATCGTTTCTGGAAAGTGAAATCATAGCGTCTCTGCCAACAGGTTTCTTTACATTATTTTTCTCCTGGCAGGAAAATGACATCCCCAGTGAGTCTCGAGAGGTAGGGCATTTTCTGGGTTCTGTGCCACCACCAAGAATAGTAGTCTTGGTGGGTGTGAGACAGAAATATGGCTATTTATTTATATGTGTACGTGCGTGGAAAAAATATAGATATAAAAATACAATCAAAAACAATATATACAAACAATAATGTGCAGACTAGGCAGTGTTTTCAGTGTCTATGCTTATTGGAAAAGAGAACTTGTTGCAGGTGTTTGCCCACAAGAGGCTCTGTGCAGGGGCAGCGGTTGCTCTCATTCCTTGAAGTCCATCAAGGCGAAATAGTTCCGTCGCTGGCTACTAATCTCACAAGTGGGGTTCCCCACCCCAGCTTCAAGAAGTGCCTGAGGACCTATAAATGCCAACTGCTGTGACATTCCATGCTACTTCCTGGTGACATCCGAAACTGTGGACAAGCCAAGGTCAGTCAGAAAAGACATTCTCAGAGATAGGGAATGCTGTCCTTCTAGTTAACGACAGCAGTGAAATCTCCGTGTGAAGTTGTAGAGCACACCTCTGTAGGCGTCGCGGAACTGGCGGTTCATAGCAGCATAAAGCACCGGATTGATGCAGCTGTTGAGCCATGTGAGGTTGGCAGCAATCATGTGCAGGACAACTGGGGCCCGGTTTTTGGAATCAAAGATGTTGAGCAACATGAAGGGGATGTAGCACACGACAAAGAAAATGAAGACCACGAAGCACATGCGGGTCACCCGGCGGAATTCAGTGTTGCTGTCCTTTGGCTTGCAAACAGCTGCTTTCTTTGGCGGCGCCATAGGCTGAGGCACAGGATGAGTTTCACCGTTCTCCGAAGCTGAAGGAACACTGGTTTTGGAAGTCGGCTCAGAGGGCATACCCTCACTGGACTGCTGGGAAGGTCCCACGCTATCAACCCCGCTGTCGAGTTCTTGGTAATGTCCCGGCGTTGCTGAGCTGGTTCCAGCCACGTGGACTCCTTTCAGACTGGCTTTCTTCAGCTTATATTGATCCATGGCCTGGGCGGCCACCTTGACTTTGCGATGGATGAGGTAGTAGAAAATGCCGACGCAGCTGAGGCCTACCACGAAGTAGAGGGCCATGAGGATGGTGGTGTAGGGCCGGCCTCGGAGGCGGTGGAAGCTACAGGTGCAGACTTTGGGTACCAGTACATAGACAGGCCACAAGGGCGCGAAGCTGGCAAAGCCAATGACCCAGGTGACCAGGCTGATGAGGATCATTCTGAGGCGGGAAAAGACCCGGTCAAAGAGGGCCGTATTGGCGATGAGGAGATATCGGCTGACAGCGATGAGGCAGAGGGTTAAGATGGAAACTGAGTTGGAAACGAAAAGCAACATCCCGAAGACACGGCAGAAGTCGGCGCCCGCCCGCCAGTGGAGGTGAAGGTAGGAGTCGACGGAGAAGGGCTGCAGGAAGGTGCAGTAGAGCAAGTCAGCTAAAGTCAAGTTGACAATCAGCAGATTGAAGCGCGTCTGCAGCTTGGGCTCCGCCACGTAGGCCAGCAGCGTCAGCACATTGCCCACTGTGCCAAGGACTGTCACCACAATGCCCCAGCTGACCGACACATAACGGTAGTCAACGATGGAAGGGTCGTAACAGGAGAAATTGTCAGCAACGTTTTCCATCTCGGGAGGTAGCGGTTGCAGTCTCTACTCGCTAAAAACTGGGAGGTACTGGACTGCCTTTGTGCCTAGAGGAGACAGAAGAAAAGAAGGGATCAAGCAAACACATTTGGAAATGTGAGGGCTTTTTGCTCTGTGATTGGTTGTGGCTCCAAGGCTGGCAAAAGACAGTACAGAACATTATGGGATTCCTTGTTCCAGGTTTTTGTGATGGCTGCTAACTGGAGTGGCTTCTTTAAAAAAGCAATGATTACTAAGTGTTCAGTGCACTCAATGGCTCTTAGCTTGGCAAGAGTTATCAATGGCTCTTAGCTGGAGACAGAGCTCCCAGTTAGAGGCAGGAGGCTCCCAATTACCAGGTGCTTGGACAAACTGCCGAATAGGGCTATCCTTGTATCGCTCTGCTTTAAGGAGTTATTGGGCCCCATTAGCTGACTACAGCATTCACAAATGGTTGCCTCTACCAGGCCCTGTCAGCTGTTACTTTTTTCTCTCTAGGTCTAGGAACTGGTATTTCAGAAAAATACCTTCATATTCCCTAGTGTTTTGCATAAGAGGACAGGCATGTATGGTTTCCCCATAGTGCCTATTGATACAGTGCATCGGCAGTGGGGCTTCTATACGGCTGATTGTCCAGCAGTTTTCCTGACCATGTCCCCTAGCAGTGGCGTCCCCCCTTCCTGGGCTATCAGTGTTTTAAAACACCCAGCAATTAAATATTATTATATCAATATAATGTTATAAACTGTGTATCAGGTTCTCTGAATCCCCAGTTTTCATTTTAAAAAATGGAGTCAGTAACCTGTTTTGTAGGGCCTAGGATTTCCACACCCATAAGAGAAGGCAATGTTGCATCAGACCAATGGCCCATCCAGTCCAACACTCTGTGTCACACAGTGACCAAAAATATCAGGAGCCATCAGGAGGTCCAGCAGTGGGGCCAGGACACTAGAAGACTTCCCACTGTTGCCCCCCCCCCCAGCATCAAGAATATAGTGCATCACTTGCCCCAGACTGAGAGTTCCTATCTATACCTTGTGGCTAATAGCCACTGATGGACCTCTGTTCCATGTTTATCTAATTCCCTCTTGAAGCCGTCCATGCTTGTAGCCGCCGCCACCTCCTGTGGCAGTGAATTCCATGTGTTAATCCATGTCAAGCATATCACTCACTGTGGTGCAGTGGACAGAAAGTCAGACTGCAACCTAGGAGACACACCCTTAATTTGCCATGGAAGTGCACTGGGTAACCTTGAGCCAGTCAGGCCTAACCTACCTCACAGTGTTGTTGTAAAGGGAAAATGGGGGGGGGGTCGGCATTTGGCTGATACCACATCATCATTTCTGGTGTGATCCAGAAGTAGGGCTGCCAGTCTCTAGGTCCTGGTGGGGGTTCCCTCAATTTTTGGGGCTTCAGCCCACTGCTGGCCAGCTGGCTAGTGGGGAAACTCTGCCCTCCCAAACAGCCAAGATCCAGTGTGATGTCCCCGATGTGACGATGTCACCTGGAAGTGACATCATCACATAGGGGACATTGTGCAGGATACTCTGGTTTGAGGGCAAAACTCTATGGTAAATTTGGCCTAAAACCATAGAGTTGTGTCCTCAAACCAGAGCACCCCGTGCAACGTCACTGATGCAATGGCATCACTTCCAGGTGATATCATTGCAGTGGGGAATGTTCTGGAACACGCCCCACATCCCCTCATTGACGCGGCAAGGGGACCTGGCAACCCTATCCAGAAGTGACATCAGCCCATCAGGATGACTCTCTAGGATTCATCTGAAACTCTATGGTAGGAGGGGGTGCTGGCATACACCCACTTTCCATGTCAGCTAGGGCTGCCAAGCCTCTGGTGGTGGCGGGGAATCCCCCGTTCTTGTTCCCATTGCCCACTGCCAGTCTAAGCAGTGGCTGGTGAAAGATTTTAAAAACCTTGCGATGCTGGCTGTGGCATCACTGGAAGTTACACAGAGTAGCCCTGGGAATCACTGGCAATTCAGTGGCTTTGCTACTTTTTAAACCAGAGGTGACATGATGTCATAGCCAGCATCACGTCTCCCCCATCCCTGCCCACAGCCCTCCTGCTGGTTGCATCACATCTCCCCCATTCCTGCCCACAGCCCTCCTGCTGGTTGCCTGGCAAGCCTAATGTCAACTCAGTGAAGGAGGTTAGGCAAAGAACGAGTGACTTGGCCAAGGTCCCTCAGTGAGGCTTGTACCTGGGCGACCAGTCTGACACTCTCTTCATGTCGCTTCTTTGGCTCTGCACGCTTTGCTTTGCCACACTTATGAGCCTCCTTCCTCTGGACTACTGGCTTTTCTGAGGCAGTGCCTGTTTGCTCTCTCTGTCTAAAACACAAGGAACAAGAGGGCTTCTCCGCGTAGAAGAGACAGGCCGGCCCTGCTCCAGCGAAATGAGGCTTCCTTGCCAGGCAGCCTGAAGCCAGAGGCCTGCCACTGGCTTTCCACGCATCAGGCGCTCGCTTTACATCCCAGCTTCCTCCAGGGAAGCCAGATCAAAGCGCAACCCAATTCTTTCCTTCTTAGGCCTAATTGGGACGTTGCCACGGAAACAGACATCTCCAAATCTTGTCTAATTGGTTCCCTCCTCTACCTGGTCGGCTTCCTTTTCAAGTCTGAGCTGGGATAGTGGGGGGGGGGAGGCAGAAGGTTTGCCCAACTTCAATGAATTCCACACAGATCTCCTCGGCTATTGGGCAAGCCAAAAGAGGCCTTTGCAAAGTCTGGTGCAACCAACCTTGACGGTGGGGGCTATCCCAGGAACAGTCAGGCTTCCCTATCACAAGAATTCTCTGTAGTATTGCCGACCTCCAGGTGGGACCTGGGTCCTCCTGAAATTAAGGGTCAGGTCACACGGACATTTAGTGCGAGCTTCGCTGCTGATCCCTCGCGCATTAAAGTTTCCTGTTCATATTGGCAAACCCGTCTCCCGCACTGAAGCGGGCTGAGTCCCGCGGTTTTCGCTCTTTTTATCCGCGTTTTCTGACACCCGTTGGAACAGGTGTTTTTCTGATATCTCGCGCTTTGCATCCGCGGTTTTGGTATCTGGACAGCAATCCGCCGTGACCACCCTACCCTCCCCCCCCCCTTTTTTGTGTTTCCGGTTTAAGTTATGCGCATGTGCAAACAGGCACTAGCTTTTATTTCGGTCTTTTTAGTTTGTATGTACGCCCAAGCGCATGTTTAACCCCGTTTTCTTTCTCGTTTTCCTTTACGTCTTCGATCACGTGTATTGACAGTTTGGTAACGCTGATGCAGTTTGGTAACGGCGATGTTGCTTGTTCAAGCTGTAATTTGCCATGCGCATGGGAAGACAAGCGCATGCGCAGGTTTTTTTTAAAAAAAACACCCCGCGCCGCCGCGGGGACGGCACGCTGTGTGATCAGTACTTTGCGCGAGTGAAGCGGAAGACAGAGGGACCATCTGACCACCTCCAAGCGATATAAAATGTCGCGGATAGAAGAACTGCGGGAAAACTAGCGCGGTAAGAGGTCCGTGTAACCGCGGCCTAAAACTGACCTCCAGACAGCCTTGTAGCTAGGGAATTTGGGGGGAGGGGGCCTCGGGGGGGCCTGCCAGCTAATTAAATGAAAGTACAGTGCAGGTGGTAAGTTAGAGCACTTTGGGGACAGCCCAGGAGAGGGGGGCCAGAAGAAACACTAGGGGGCCAGGCCCCGTGGGCCCCATGTTAGCTACGGGCCAGCCTCCAGACTACAGAGATCAGCTGCCTTGGACAAAATGGCTGCTTTGGGTGGGAGGGCTCTGTGACATTATACCCTGATGAGGTCCTTCTCCTCCCCAAGCCCTGCCCTCCCATGTTCTGCCCCCAAATCTGCAGGAACTTCCACCTGGGAGTTGGCAACCCTAATTCTCCCCCGATGTCCTGACATTACTTCTGGGTAACGTAGGCATGTCGCGTTTATTTCTGGCTTCTTCCCTCCCTGCTCTGGGTAAGTTCATCCCCATCTCCCACCAGGTGGTCTGACGGATCTGGCAGCCAATGCTCCCGCTAAGCTGTGGAGTCTTGTGAGCAAAAAGTCTCCTTTGTGAGCTACCGGCATTAAAGTTGTGAGCGAGCAATTTGGCTGCTGCATCAATTAGTTTGCTCTGGAGCCCTCCTTCCTGAGCGAAGACGAAAATGTGTGAGCCGAAGGCTAAAGAAAACTGTGAGCTAGCTCACACGAAGTGCCTCCGCAGGGCAGGTTTTCATCCAGATGGTGTGATCCATTGGCGCAAAGCAGGCTTGGGAAAGAACATACTGAGGTTGGCAAATGAGTGGTTCAAGTATGATGTTGTGGGGGTGCTCCCCCCTTCCTGCCAAAAGCACTCCGTTTGGAAGCCAAACTGGAGAAGAACCTCTGTGCGAAAGCAGCATTTGAGACGAATACACAGGAATCTCCCCCTGTGGTGAAAGGAGATGCCCACTGTGGTATGTTTTTCTTCTTATTGTTGCCAACAAACCAGATAAAGAAATCTGGCCTGGCCTTCTCTTGCGCTTTCAACAGCATCCTGATGTGCTGAAATTAGCAGGGGGTGCTTTGCAGAATAATGCTTGCAAACCCAGCCAGTAACACCACTGAAGGTGCCAGTGGGAAAGTTGGCCTCCCCAACTAGAGGGTTTGTGTTGCTGCTCCAAACAGAACTATCCCTGCCCTCCGAGGCTGACACATGTCTGAGCGGTTCTTCTGGTCGTTCTTGAAAGTCCACCTTCCAAAGCAACCATTTTCCCCCCAGGGGAACTGATCTCCGTAACCTCTAGAACAGTTGTAATTCTGGGAGACCTTTAGCCACCCTCTGGGGATTGGCAACCCTATCCGTTTGATGATCAGGTGATGCAGTTTATAGGGTTGCCAGCAGCCCTGTAGCTAAGGACTTTTTAGGGAGGGGGCCTGGGGGGGGGCTGCTAATCCAATCAAAGGCTCCAGGGCAAGGGCTGCAGCAGCCACAGCCTCCGGGTCCAGCTCCCCCCCCAAGGAACCCCCGTGCCTCTTCCCGCTGCACAGCACCAG